AAGAAAAGATCAAATGTTTGGGAAAATTAGTATGAATTGAAATGGAGCTTCTCGGAAAGACAAATATACAAGCTCTTATAGAACGCATTGTGTTATGTTTAAAATCGCATGAGCAAACATTCCGAAAATTTTCATCACATTGATACACAGAAATATTGAATCGACCATTGCTGACTACGGATTTACACGCAAATACATCAATACTAAATAGATCACATTACTTTCGAATATACTTTGATCGATACGAATTTACTTACACACATCACAGTAAACACAATGATTCTAGCAATGTTGAGATTTGACACTTGACTTTGTTTTTGAACTTTTTCTAGTACAAATGGTACATGAATGGATTTTAGTGCCAAATTTCATATTGCGGTTCTAAAAGTTAGAACCAACGTGTTTACTGTGATGAGGTCATAATCATGAGGTTTATGTTTACGTCGACTATGCTATAAATTTATAGTCAATTCTTATACAGGGTGTTCTAATGGAACACTGTTCCATATGTGCAATTTTTTACCTCTTCAAACGAATGAGAAAATTGACAAAAAAACAAGGTAAATGCTGGTTTTATTGTTTGAACATTTACAGTTTACTTCGAATACTTGTGAAATATGATTTCTACCAAATGGGTCTCTGCTATGTGTGAGGCAAAGTGGGCCTTTTTGCGGACATTCTCCATGTATCATGTATCAAATTTTCTGAGTCGGGAAATGAGCTACGAATTAAATATATAGACTGATTTCCATTGCATCATGAGCTATGAATTATGTATTGATTTAATTGTTTGATGTAATATGTTTGAATATGATATGCGTCTTGTCGTTGTCTCTCTCTCTCTCTCTGCGCGTACACTGTATTCGAAGGGAGTCTGTGCCATATGTGATTACCGTACAGGTTTGAGTGAGTGATTGAAATAAGCATGCAGCAACATGAGAATATGTCGTCAAAGAGGATGTCATATGAAAAGACACATGATTTATTCACAATCCATCCACATCTAAAACGTCTCACGATGAAAATCATCGTTCGCATTTGAACGACATTTATGTAATTTTGGCATAATTTTCAGTTTCGCAATGGAATATGACTAGACTATTTGCAAGCTAACGCTTGTGTAAAATCCCAAATACGTACGATGAAAAAAAAAACTTTTCTCATTTTTTTCTCCATGAAATTTTGAAAATAAATAAAGTTGAAAGAAGTCAAAGGAACACGGTCGATATCCCAGCAAAGCGTAGTTAAATTATCTTAAGCATTTATAAGACTTCATAAACGATGAATTTGTGTAAATTCCAGCACGTAATGTTTGCTGCGTGTTCTAGTTTGTTGTTATGGCAATGGAATATATTTCAAAATTAAATACGAAGCGAATTGTCGTAAATTGTGCGAAACATAATCATAATTATATACATGTAATAGATATATATATATATATATATTAGGGCGGGCCGATTTGTGGGGAGTGAAAAAAATCGATCAAATACCTATGATTTCCGTGTTCTATGAGTTATTTCAAGAAAATTTGCCCGAGGAACCATACCTCTATCTTTAAAATCGAGTCTGCTAGTTTTTGCGTGTAGTTATTTTTGCGCACCTATGAAGTATCACCTTCACGTTCACATCCATAATTCGAAAACTATTGATCGGATCAAATCGATTAAACGCGCGTTGGAAAGGTGAGCTCATTCCGATCAATTTACATATAAAAATCATTGACATTGGTCGTACGGTTCAAAAGTTATGAGCATGTTTCTGAAATCTTTTGGACGATTTCTTTCACTTTTTTCATTTTTTTCCTCAAAAATATTTTTTGTCCGATTTGCTAAATTATCTTCATCCATGGGATTCGCAGGATTCGCTATTATTACACAAAGACTGAAAACTTGGGCATTGTTTAACTGAATTCATGGGAATTGTCAATATACAACGACATTCAGCGTGTAATCAAACTTTGCCATAGGTAAACAACTATTGTTTGTCGCCATAAAATTATTAGCATTTGATATTGAGAAGTTGGGCGCGTGTACAACTGTATATGGAAAATAAACATTTAATCAAATAAATTTGATTAAAATGTACAAGCAATTATTCTCAATTATTGATAGAGAATAACGTGATTGAAATTGAAAATTGACATAAAATGCCAATACGTACAGGTGCAGATAGTTGAGCTTTTGATGCACAAATCAACAGTTATTTTATGATGTTTTGTCAAGCAGATGATCCAAACCCGCAACCCCATCCCCACTTCAACGAATTATACATGGTGATTGATTTAAATAACCATAAACACATAAATAAGGGCAGGTCGAGTGATTTGGGTCAGTGGGTGTGCTGGGTCAGCGTCGTATTTCTTCTATTTCGCGTTGACATCTTCAATGTGTGTTTACCAATTGACTTGCCAAATGAAAACGTATTTACATACCAAATCGATCAAGAATTGCAACGACCATCTCAAAATTTTCTGAATATTTGCATGGTCAAATGTCACTTCGTCGTGCATAGCTCTCTCTCTCTCTTTTAATCAAGCTTCCATAATTGAGCAAAACATTTATATTTTAGCAACAACAAAAAACCCTTTGAATTACATTTCCACAATTTAAATTTCATGGACATTTTATCCAAGTTGAAATTATTAATTTTCATATGATTTTAGAAAATGAACGAAAAAAAAAACTAAAATCTCATTTTCAATTAGTGTTTCAACAAATCAAAAACTTTGAAGCAAAAAATAAAATTCAAATCACAAACACAAACACACACATACAAGAAGCACAAGCGAATGAAACAAATCAGACATGGCATGGCTTAGTCATGAAAGTTCAACATAAACGACTCATTTGGTGAATTGGATTTAATTTAAATATATAATAATTCACATCCACTCATCCGAACGGTAAATGTAATTCATGAGAGTTGAGAGTATCGAGAGTTTGAGCACATACGATACTAGTTCGGGCCGTTTGAAAATCTAACAAGCATACTGAATAAAAGCTAATGAAGGTAATACATTTTGTTTCAGTGTAAAATTTGGATGTGTATTAAGAGCACGGAATGGTATGAAAGTACCCAAATTTCATCATCTTTGCGTTATTGAAGTGTGCAACCATGTTCAGTTTGAAATATGTAGTCTCAATAATATGCATAAATGAAATTCAGAAGAGTTTGCGTTGGGGTTTCGTGCTTTTCGATTATTCAAAGAGTGTGAGCTGCTGTTGCACGTACATAAAAGGTAATCACACTGATGGTTGAAACACTATGTATACACATCCATTTCGATCCGATGGCTATGTCCGCTGGCTATGTGTGTGTGTGTGACTGCGGTAGCAATGGCCCTGTGCAAATGAGTGTCGCAATTTTACAGACGCTCGCAAAATTAATCGGATTTACGTTGTGCCATTAGTGAGAATCATATAAATGTGTAAAATGATGTCATCTGGATTGAATGGGTTGGTTTAGTTAAAATCGCGAACCGAGGCCAAGTTGTTTTAAAAGCAGTTGACTTGACGGAACCCATAAAAATTGAAGTATGTTCTTCAAAAAATTTGTAAATATCAAAATTGCCCGATTGAAATGTGAAGAAAAAAAATCTGCTTCCTTTTTCATTCGGTACATCCATTTTTCTACTCGAATTTCGTCATCTCAGAATACTGTCAATGCTATAGAAACACAATGCATCTTGTTTATTTGGCTGCAGTTATCGAAATGTCGTCGGTGCTAAAAATCATTTAACAACTGCAAAGCGAATGATAGAAAACCGTGACATTTTTTGTCTGGTCCTCTTCTGGCATTTCAAACTTCATGCAGCTTCTATTTACCTTTTTTTGAACTATTGTCTTGGCTTACTATATTCAACATAGAGCAGAGAAAATTCAAAGTAAACTGAGCTGGCGTGGACGCCCCCAATTTTAAATGGCATATCAATGCAATTTAATTCTTCGTGTTGGAGCCAACATATGGAGCTTATGATATTTTTGACAACATTGCCGCCCCATGATTCTTAATTCGCAAGTCTGCTGTGACTTATTTTTCCCTAGTGTTTATAGCCTTTTCTTGTGGATGTTCTGTTTGTAGTGTGCGTTTTGTTGATGATGCCGAATCTTTGTTGCGTGCGACGTAAATGCTGTTTCTTATTTCGTTTCATTCAAAATGGCAAATGCAAACGAATGCGGAAAAGCACACTAGTGGCCCGGGCAATTCTTATGCCAGTGAATGGAATTCAATATAAACAGAATGAAGAAACGAATAGCTCGACATTACTTCATAAAAGTTCAAGAATATCAAGTGATATCAATGGGATCAATAGAAGAGAAAGGGAGAGAGAGAGAGAGAGAGAGCGGGAGAGAAAGAGCAGGAGAGCGGGAACGAACGAGCAATTTGTATCTGAATCCATTGAAAGTTTCGGATTTTATTACAGAACTAATTTATTTTTTGCTTTGACGGTTCTTGTTCTATTTCTTTTCTCGTGTGACTGAACTTTTTGCTCGTTTGTTTTTAGTTGGCTTCTTTCGTTTCGTTTGAATCCTCTTCTACGTCGTAATCCCACGTTTGAATACTTTAGCTTGTGAAAGAAAGCTTGTTGAGTGAGGACTGGGTTTTATTGTTGTTGCTCTTTTTACGCAATACGATCAATGTATACCTTGTTCAATAGCATCAAAATCAAGAACGATGTTCATGTAAACAATATATTTTTCATGTAGTTTACCATCTTTCGGCACTCACAATAGTTTCAGTTATAGCTTTATTGTAAGTTTTATTCAGTTTTCTTTTGAAATTTCACCAAATTCGTTCGGTTTATTTGTTGATACCTTCAAAGGAATCAATACTCCGGCAAAACGTCTATAAAATAAGGGATTTTTTTTTCTTCTGTTCATTCCATTCGCACAAAAATTCATTTGATTTGACTTTTCTCTGTTTTCTCTCTGTGTTTTATTTCCGTTTGGCTGCGTTTCGTGGATGATTAAATTCGATGTGTATGTTCCGACTATGTACAGTGTGTAACCGCACATGGTTCGGTGATATAGGAAAAACGTATGAAATGGAAATAGATAAGCCAAGTGCGTTGCCGTTTATATGTCATCTGAATTTTACAGCACCAGGTGGATTACATGGTGACATTATACAAGTAAGTAGCATTTTTTGATTAAGTTATTCCAACGGTAATGCAGTAGTTAGAGCAGCGAGTCGGTGTGATTTCAAACGCCTTTTCATTGCCTTTAATTTTGCCATTATGGTAATTTTATGAATTCAGTAGGGCAAATATTACGTACATACAGATTTAGTGTGCAAAGTACGGACACCACCTAGTTTGCAACCAAAATTTTCGAACGGATTTCTTCAACAATCCCAAAGTGATGTCTAATTATGTGGCTTTATATATAAAGCATTGATTTTATTGCAAAAATTCAGACTTGCAACAATCTTTTCCGCGAATTTCAAATGTAATCAAATTAATTCGTGTTTTCAACTAATTCGAAACGGTATGTGGTTAAATATTTGTCCAACTGAAAGATGCAAAAAGAATATGATTCAACTTGTTCACCCTTTTTCGTGGTGATTGAACGTGTTGGCAATCAGAGGGAAAGATGTGGTTTTTCAATTCAAACTTTCTCTCTATTAACAGATAAATATTGACAAATTTAACATTGGCCGATTCACATCGCACACAAACGATGGCTGTCCCGATGGTTTTATGACAATAAGTGAGCGGAATATTTCATCGTTGGATGCCGCAGTTGGGATGTACAGCGATAGTAGCGGTGACGGAGGCAGCGACGGTGGCACTAATCAGTATGGCAATGGCAAATGGTGCGGCAATGCTTGGGGCTACAATGTATATTACAGCGAAAGTTCTTCCATTAACATAACACTGAAAATATTCAAATTCGCGCAGCAGCCACAACTTACCCTAACGCCCAATAACAATAATTTTTCATTTCGTATAATCTACAAGTTTTTGAAGCGTACGGATGCCAAGCTAAGGTATTGCTCTCCCTAGTAACGTCTTTTTTTTTTCGGCGAAAAAAAAAAACATATTCTCATTCTATCCGTGCAATATCTATTATTTTTACCATTTTTTTTTTTTATAATTTTAATTAAATATTTTTCCTTCATATTCAGGAACGAAAAGGGAATTTGGACTGGTGATCATGTAGCGGGGACATACTGCAACAAAAATGTCTACGATTGCGATAGACGGTAAGCCAGTGAATTAATTCCTTTTATCAACAAAACGAATTCATGTACCTATAAATAGCATCAAAACGGTTTTACCAACTACTTTTTTACTGCCCTAATTTATTACTCATAATACGAGTCTCAAAAAATGGAACGATTTAGAATCAAAATGGGATTTGCGTTATCGTTAATTTTTAAAAATACGAAGATTGTTTTATACAGTTACTCACAAAATTGTTGGTACTAGATTCGACTGTATGTATGTAGTTCATCGATGGGCATTTGGAGCATTTTTTTTTGCCAAAATTGCTATAATTGAAAAAGTGTCCAATCGAATGTACCAACAAAACTCGAATCCTTTCATGGCTTTACCAGTGATTTGGGTTCTAGATTAAAAGTATTTAAGCCCTAAAGCTTATTTATCAGTAGGATACACAGAAGAACGGTAGAAAAAGATTTTTTTTTTTTGGCATAATGACTAATAAAATTGGCGATTTTCAGCATGTCACTTTTCTAATGGCGCCATTTGAAATAGGTATTTTTACCATTACCCATGTGTAAAAAACATGGTCGAGCTTCAGAAAAATTATTTGATTCAGTGTAACAAATGTTGTAAATGAATATGTAATATTTTTGAATATTCACTGAAAAGAGCCAATCAATTTCAGTGAACAAACAATTTTGTAAGTAACTGTTCATCCTAACAAAGTAATCGATATATAAATGCTACATTGTCGCTAACCCATGGATAAAAAAAAACGATTTCTAAAGTAATAAATAAGGTTGTTGCTTTTGATTGTTCTATGAATAGGTTGTTTTTTGATTTTTATTTCATTACTTTAGTGTGTAAGTGGTCAAGAGCGGGTAGAAATGAGGTCAGGAAAATCCAGGGGATAATAAAAACGCATTCATGATTTGATTCGTGTTAGTTTCGATATAAAAACTTGATGTCGTTATTAGTGTTGAAAGTCGATAAAATGATCCGATTCTGAGTAAAAAATTGAATGATTTATTCTAGAGCATTCATTTCGAATTTTGCGATGTGTTCTGAAAAAAAAAAATTGTCAAAAGAAAAGTTTCAGAAACATGATTCGATTCATCATTGTTTTTCATTCAAATACGCGTGTTTCATAAATATCAAGCAGTAATCCTTCACGAATAAAATTCTAGGACTGAAATGCAATCGACATGTGATTGTCAAAAAAATGACAAATCAATGAAATAACCCCCAGAAAATACCTATTATCATTGCAAATCCTTCCAACAAATAATAAATATTATTCTCTTTCTCTACATATTTTTCTTCTTCTATTTTTTTTGATGTTCATTCCATTCGTAGAATCTGTCGAATAAGGTCACCAAATTTTCCCGGCATGTATCCACGTAATCTGACATGTAAATATCACATTCATCATCGTCCGCCACCAACTGGCCTGCATGCGATGCTCGTTGTACGTCAGCCCGTCGGACAAAAAATGTATTTGAAAGACCAACAGCAAGAAAGGCACCATGAATCAAATGGACGGTCATTGAGGTAAATATGCTTGCTCTTCATATCATATAAATTGTACAGAAAAAAAAAACCCATACATTTAAGCTGGTGCGATGCTATGCCCAATGAAATACTAGACAAATAAATGCGTGCACAGAAACAGTCAAAATAAATTATAATCTATGTGTATCTGTGCAACACTCGCTTGTTTTTTCTCTCGACGTTTGTTTGCTCTCATGATCATGGTAAGGTCGAGAGAGTTTTTCTGCGTTTTGTCTTAAAATGTTTTCACGCTACATAATTTGATCATTTGTGAAGGAAACGCTCGAAAGATAATCCTTTTACCCTCTAGAATGTCTCAATTGACAATGCGAACGGTATAATTGTATGGGATTTCGAAAATATCTTTTGTTGTCCAGACAACATGATTGAGCGTTGGTTTGTTAAGTGGTCAATGACTTTTTGTTTTTTTTTTTTGTTTTTTTTCTCTGTCTATGGCCATAATGCTAACGTTGTTGTATGTCTATGCATGCGGAGCAAAGATTTTCTACAACAATACATAGTATCGGTTATTCGAAATCAAAAGCTCACAACATTCCAAATAACGAAGCCATTATTTTGAAATAATATTTTCGAAGTAACTCTCGCATGCATCTTTAGGATACATGTTGTATATGCTGACGCACCGACATTTTTCGTCTAAATGCATATTCTGATCATTTAATCTATGAGTGAGACTGAGAGTATAGAATGTTTCACTGATTTCGATATGAAAGATTAAAGTATGTTTCTGTCGATTTGAAAATGATTGAAGGATTCAAAACCGAGTGAAATTTCCAATTTGCATTTTTGAAATCGAGCTGTTTTTGACGGGTTGTGAAAAAATCACCTTCTTGTCAAGAAGTTCTTGACAACATTCATTATTACGTTATTTATCTTATTAGCAAGGAGATGCAAAAAGTTATGTTGTTGTGTGCGATTTGAAGCTGTAAGTGCATAAAAGCGCTGGAAATTTATTCATTTAATGAATCAATTAATTCATTTCACGTCTCCGTTTTCCACTCTCTAATGTTGTGACAAATCATCTTTGATTGATAATATAGTTAGTTAATCTGTAAAAGAAAGCAAAACGTATACGGATAGTCAAATACAATTTTCGGTTATAAATCAAACTGTAATCGTAACTATCAGTGACAAGTGGTGAACTATTACATTTATTCACATAAATAAAACTTGTACTTAATCAATTTTGTATTGCATCGACGCTCGAGTGCACTACAGCGAATGCACTGCGAACGGTTTTGGCACACTCTCTATTATTCTCAGTTCCGGTTGTTGTGTTTTTTCTTTCCTTCTCTTCTCTCTCTCTCTCTCTCTCTCTGTCTCTCTCTGTCTCTCTCTCTCTCTCTTTCTCTCTCTCTCTCTCTCTTTCTCTCTCCCGCCTCCGTCAGTGCTTATTTATTGTTTAACGGAACAGCAACGAATTGAACTATGGAGGAGACACATTATGTGTGCTCATTGAATTTTCAAATCGTGGCAACATTATTTCCTCATGAAGAAACGTTTGCGGTCTGAAGTTAGATTTCCGAATTGGTTCAGGCAGTACAGTGCTGCACACACACTCACTATATTAAGTTTGTTAAATAAATAGACGAAATAGTTTTTCCAAATGAAGTAAATTTAATGGTTTTGGTGGGTTTTTGTTGGGGTTTGAAACAAATACAATAGTCCGGCTTTTGAACGTTTTTGCTTACATCATTTACCACAATGGAGCCCGTCTATTTTTGTTTACCAAATAGATGTGAATTAAAACGAATTCGGGTATTGTCTTGCTTCGATTTTGGCTAAAATGCCCAACAGGACAACTTTAAATCGATACACACAACAACAACAACAACTTCGATGAAGTCGGCGAGAATTCTCCATTTCTTCGTTTTCACGTTCATGGTTTCGCCCTGTTTTGTGTGTGTGTGTGTGTGTAAATTTCCGTAAAAGTGCAGCAAGTTTGCAACCCATAAATATTTTTCACCTGATACATTTGAAATGCTTGGGTTTCGATAACGTGCAGACGCGCACGCGACCAACAAACGCGCTTAATTCGATATAGCAATTCAATATTGGTGGCCCGTATTTGCCGCATCGTCTGTAACAATGCCATTTCGTAACTAAATAAGATGCCACGATAGAGATTTCCCCCTGTTTTTTCTTTCATTTCCTTTGATAATCCTCTTCAAAGAACTTACGTTCATTTTTTATATACGAGCGCAAAAACATACTTTGGAAATAAGCGCGTGCATTGTATTGAAAATGAAATTTTGTTTTGTTCGTCTCCGCATCGATATTTATTAAACTCTGGAGTTTTATTTAAATTCAAAGCATTACATTATACGAGGGCAAATGCAAAACTTCACATTCGATAAGATGCATCGAGTTAATATTCAAAATTTATGCGCTTTGTTGCCAGAAATCTTGAAACACAAAAAGACTTTTCTTTTTTTTCCTATCCAACACACTTTCCTTCGTCTTAAATCTCTGAACGAATTTTTTTTCCAAATTTCATGGTTTCTTTCTTTTCTTTCCCCGGTTCTTGATCAGAGCGTGGAATCATTGTGACTCGGTGCAGGACTATTTATCGATTTTCGATGGCAAAAGCACTGAATTTCCCGAATTGGCAAGAGTTTGCGGCGGTGATTCATTGCCAGACATAATATCAAGCGGCCCGGATATGCTAATCGTATTTCAGACATCACCGTTTGATAGTCTTTTCCATCCGACGCCAGTTTCATATTTACTTGGCTTCGAACTACAAGTCGAGGTGAGTAGTGAAATAGTTTTTATCCCATTTGAACCACATTTTAAAGAAATCTAAACTTTATCGCTGTTGATATTAATTCAAACTTAAAAAATATTTCCGTTCTGTTCCGTAGGTGATGTTTGTGAATGCCAATTCCCAAATGTACACGCGACAACCGAATCAATGTGAATTTGTTTTGAGTGCATTCGAGAGTGTTTCGGGTGAATTGGATAGTCCAAAGCATACGCTGCCTCCCAACACAGTATGCCACTATCACTTCCAAGGGCGTCGCCATGAAATCGTTTGGATAACATTCACCAAGTATCATTCAGCTGTTGATCAATCAATCTTTGAGGCGCCCACTGAATGTACACCACAGCTCCGTATTTGGGATGGTAAACTACGTGCGAATAATAAAAACGGTGAGTTCGCTTTCATGGGTGATGTCAGGGGAATTTTGTATTTCTAATTGGATTTCTATTTAATCGGATGTGTTTCAGATGGATTGGTGGAAAATGTTCGAAATGCTTCGCTGATGGCTGAAGTGTGTCGTGAAGAAGTACCAAAGCTTTGTTCTCGCTTATTGATATCACGTGAAACGCGGCCATGTTCAACTCATGGTGAGTAGTTTTTGGTTGATGAACTCTAGCAACAAGAATAATAAATATTTGACTGAAAATTTTGAAATTTCTATTTAATAGAGAGTTACTTGAGCATTAGCCCTGATATGACAATCGAATTCATGCCAAATCCAAGCGGAACACCTCATTTGTATGGGCCTTCATCTGCATTTAAGCTTCGATACGAATTTTTGGATACAATGCTTGGCGGAGCTCCACTAGAACCATTCTCCAAATCAATTGGTCCAAAGGCTATGCCCGAACCTGCAGCCTTACTACAAACACAGTCAAAATCTTGCAATAGAGTTTACAGGTATGTATATTCTATTGAATCACTTTGAATTTAGGAGAAAAAAAAGTGTTCTATACTAATTCTCAAATGTGTATTTTGTCAACAATTTCGGTAACATTTGCCAATCTAGATCAAATGTTGCTATGCGCGGAATATTCCGTTCGCCATCGAACGTGTTTCTTTTTGGTCGTGGAGGATCCACAAACATCTCTTGTATCATTCGTTTTGAAGGAAACGCCGATGAAAGCGTTCGGTAAGTAAAGATGATTTAATATGATTCTAAACTAATGCTCGAGTGTTGCGCCATGTGGCGATGCTAGTCCAATTCGAGTCAGTAGTACCATTTTTTTTTCTTCACAAAACCACCCATAATATGTATATCACACCATATTTTACATTCGTTTCAGGTTAACAATAACAAGAGCGCGTTTCGGCGGTCGTTCGTGCCAAAATGTACAAAATCGATCCGGCCGTTGGCAATGTAACTATATGGGTGGTCCACTATCCGACTTACGAATTGGCGAAGTTCCTTGGCCAGATATTCCACCGTTGCCAAGAGATTGTATTTGCGCTGATATATCCGGATCGTTAGCATTGGCGCCCATTGCAGCTAGCACAGTGGAAGCACACTTTACCGCATTCGAAATGAATATTGATCAAGACTTTCGTGATTTTTATTTCGAGGGACGTTACGAATTCGTTAAAGATAATTGCCAGATGAATTGGGAAGAGCGTCGTTTGCATGGCATCAGCGGTGAGGCAAATTTGGGTCCATCATCATGCAATGGAATGCCAATAATTCAACCATGGCTGCTGGAGCCAGAAACGGAAAATAGCTACTTGGTATTGATGCTTAAAGGTTTTTGGATGCCACCACTGTTGCATTCAGTACCACCGTGTCCAACCGATGCACGAATCACCGTATATTCGACGAATAATCCGAAAGCATCACGAGATTTGTGTCCATCCGGTCCTGATGTCGTTGCATTCTCTGACGGATGGGATAGTATACATCAATTTAATCCGGTGGAAATATCGAAGAATCTAGTGATCGAATTCCGAGTTCCATGGAAAACTGGAATCGATACAACTGAATATAAAATCAGTTGGATGGAAATTTATCCAGACATGGATTGCATACACAAATGCAGTGAGCTTCAGGCTTGTATTGCGCCAAAGCTTTGGTGTGATGGTCGAGTGCATTGTCCATCGGGGCAGGATGAAGATCCGAGTGTGTGCGAAACAAATCCACCACTTTCACCGTTACGTGTTGGATTAGCAGTTGCGGCGGTCACGATTCTGTTGTCACTGATCGCCGGCTTAGCGGCATGCGCAAGACGAAGACGTGGCGAAAAACAAAATAATTTCCATAGTGATCATGACGATGTGAATAGCATGACAATGGGATCGAATTTGAACAACAGCAGCATTGTGTCTTCACACAATCAACAGGTAGAAGAATTTTTATTTTGAAAATAAGTGTAAATTTAGTGATTTATTATTGCTTAGATTTTTGAAACTAAAAAACACAGCAATTAAATCTATATCTTTGAAATGAACCATTACAGTCGCGTCGACATCACCACAGTCATGGACATCGAAGCCATCGCGGCTCATCGCATCCTCATGCATCTCTGTCGCCACTTTATTTAGATACTCAACCAAATCACAACTATTGTTGACAAGACGTTGTAACATCAGTTTAGCTGATTAAGTAAGATGTGAAACCAAGAAATCCGTTTTTATTTAACTATTTTCCGCCTAATGATTCAAATGGATTTACATCCATTTTTCCTCGACGAACGACGGTTTTGTAAGAAAAAATAGAAAGAAAAAACAATTAAAAAAAAAATCAATTCCACTCAATAATCGAAATTGTTGAAAAGGAAATAATTAATTGAGAGCTAGAGCAAGAGTATTTCTAGCGTAAAAAAAATCTTTAATTCACTCACAATGCATGCCATCGTCTTGTAAAGGAATTCTTTTCTCAATTTGTTATGCAATAAACGTAAGAGATCCGCTCTTATTAAATTCACCTGAAGAATTCAATCTTCATAATTCGCTCCAATGAAATGATTGCAGAGTAATGACACAAAACATACGATATCAATTTAAATCTATATTTAACTTTGAAAATGCATTTAGGAAATCCATATATACACTCATTGACCGATATACAAGGTGTGACAACGAAATCGAACTCATTTGTTTTTTTTTAACATGAAAACAAAGAATTTTTTTCGATATTTTCAGAAGAAAAAAAATTCAGTCGCGACCATGTTGATTACGATGGTTGTATACGATTTTAATTCCTATTCAGATCTAATGAAAGATGCCGAAAAATATGCACTTTTTATGGAAAACGGCTTCATTTTTGGATCTGCTTCCACTTCGTCCTCTATCTATAATCCACTTTCTTGGAAGATAATTATTTACACCACAGGCCATAAGTTTGGACACCCCTATGAAACGTTTGTTTCTACGCTTTTGAACATTTTCACTTGAAATTTAGTATTGGATATGAAAATATATCGAAATTCTGACCGAATGGATGATTTGGAAGATAACATTTGGCCGGCCTATGGCCATCTTTTGGCCTTTGAGCTGTGGGAGCCAAAATCGAAGTCTTAAACGGGCCATCGGATTAAAAAGTTAAATACGCCATTGGAAAGGTCTTGAAAAGTAGATGTGATTTTTAGTATTAAACATCAAAATCGGCCGGCATTCGGCCAAGATATGGCCGTTTGTAATTTTTGGCCGAAATCTTCAATCAGCCATATCTTGGCCAAAAGCTCGCCGATTTTGATGTTTAATACCAAAAATGATACGTACTCTCTGAGACCTTTCCAACGACGTATAGCATGTTGAAATTGGACAAGAGGTTTGAAATTTAAAAATTTTGGGCCAAATTCATTCATAGGGGTATCCAAACTTATGGCCTGTGGTGTAAGTAATCATAACGCACTTCCAACAATTGAATCAGATTCTCATTTTTTGGAAATATTGAAAAAAATTCATTTGTTCCAAAGGGTTCCAATTTCGTTGTCACACCCTGTAGCATTTCAAACAATTTCAATGAACAAATTTGACGCACTGAATAAATTTATTTTCACATTCCGAATATTCAATGAACTTTAATTACCAAATATTTTTATATATAGAACCGTCAATTCATCAATTCAGCCCGCTTTGCACCCCCCCCCCCCCCCTCATGAAATGCATATTCATTTAAATTAAGTAGATATGCGATACCGACGTTTGCATCGGAACAAATGAATGCTGCAATTATGAAGAAGTAATCCATAACCTTTTTTATCGATTTATAAATAGCATCTTCACATTTCCTTCAATATTGATTGAAGGCATAGCAAAAAATAGACAAAGGTCACGATTACAAACATAAGACATTTCATTGGAATTTTTTTCTGCCGTGTTAAATGATAATACAACAATTCGGTTGTAATTTGCAATGGCAAACCGAATAAGTCACAAGGAGACTTTCTCGAATGCCACAGTTCATCGATTGTGATATAAGGATGTATGTGAACATCAATATGGGCGAACACAACAAAAGTCTTTAAAGAGAGAGGGTGAGAGAGAGAGAGAGAGAGAGAGAGAAAAAGAAGAACGTATAGTAGTAATATAGGTGTAAAAAAGACGAATTTATGAGGACTGAAGAAAAAGAATATATTCAGTTCAGTTGGTGACAATTTGTATATGGCATATGATGAAACATACATCTTTTCAATTATTTCATACTGTCATATGTTAAGCAATCCGACAATTTTCACACTCAAGATTCATTTACAAACAAAAAACAATCAAAGCATACTCCAAATTTTAGGAAAAATATGCATTTGTATGTGAAATGTAGAGAAACTAATACAAGCCGAAGAAAAACACACTCTAGCTTGCAGAAGCCAGTCACAAAACCCCATAAGACATCGACCACACTCACGTTGCAAGCTTTTAGATTTCTATCAAAATGGTAAATACACATTGGATGTATCCATTTCTCCCAATGGAAATTCAAAGTCTAACAACGTGAGTCTTTTCGGTGCCGTATGCACATTCACAATTCAAATCTCAACTCAATACAAACAGAATAGTTTTTCGCGTCTACACGTAAATGTTACATAAGATGAATTTTAGATAATCACCGGGGTATATCAAAACAGAAACTATTATACACAACGCACTTTATACTCTTGAAATAATGAACAATTATTAAAACGTTAGGCTAATGAACACAGTCGATACTTTCGATTTTACACTTTCATCTATGCATTGAGGATTCTACCTAGGAAACGTAAGATATTCCAATCGTCCAAATGCTTGTATGTCAAATCCAATGTGGGTAAATGGTTTGAAGTACTCGATTTTTTTTCCCTTAAAACATCTAAATGAGTTCATGTTATTTTTGAGACAATTAGAACAGCGTTCGAGATTATTTAAATTCACTCAAAAGTAAGTGATTAGTTCTGTTCTAGTCTAAAATATTTCGCTGTGTGACTCACAGTAGCCTTTTTTTTTTCATTTGCTACAGAGTTTAGTTAAGTTTACACTTCTTAGTATTCATTTTAAATATTACTCATTGATTCGTACAACTGCCATATCCATTAATTCATTTGCTTAAATGTAAATCGTCATCAGTTTTCCATTAGGTTTCATTCTTTTTCGTTTCACACTGGCCAAGTGTTTCTCTGTTTCCACAATTGGTTTCACTTGGAATATTTGAAATGCAGCCATTTGTAATATCAAAATTCAAAGCAATACTGAATGAACCATCGGATAAAAATTCATTCTTCTAACCATGTCTAGCCAAACAAATATCATTTGTGAGCAATCGTTTGCTTATTATTTCATTTTCACGGTATTTGTTCACTTAAGGATTTTTTTTTATCTCCGGATAAAGTTCAACAAATGTCCAACTATTTTGCGTTGCTGTAAAACCAATAAAAAGCTTCAATTCAAAAATTTTGGTGCACTAAAAGTATTGACAAAAGACGGGAAGAAGCAACATATTTTAATTGATGAACGTAGAGCTGAATTTTGTTTTGCAACTATTTTATTTGAAAAGCGTTTAAAATTTACTGCACGTACAAAAATTATAGCAATTCTGAAAATGGAAATTAAAATTAACAGATGAAGAGTTAGTGTTAGTAATAACTCAGCACCATAGCACAGTATACATCTACCACCAAATCACATAGCGCCAACTCATTAAACAATTTCAATTTCCATTCTATCCTTGTCCGATCAATTAGACCGCATTAAATGATAATCTTTTGATGTATTTGTCTTGAATGAGTTGAATCTTTGATTTGATACCAATTGAAGAGTGACAAAAATCAGTTAAATTGTAGACTTTACGGTGAAAATTTCTGCATTTTTACTTTTTGCTAATTTTAAATGGAATTTTCTGTTTTAGTCACATGGTTTTTCTGTCACTGAACACGATTTTTTCCTCACTTTTTGATCATGGACTTTGGTAATGGTTTAAATCGATATCGGACATTACTATGCGATATTTTTTCTCTTATGCCATTTTATATTACATGAAAGTGAATGAGAGCGATAAAAATGCCAGCATTCAAACACATCTCGATTATTGGCCCATTCCACTCTCCTTCGCTCTCGCACAATTGGCAAACCGGAAAAATATCACAAAAAACATCAATGTGCATATGCATTAATGTTTTTTTTAGCGAATTCTGATCGATATTAATGTACATTGACGGTGCAATCAACTTAGAGTTCAGAGCAAATTGATTACAATCAATTACCATTAAATTCAAATAGCACCCTCCCGATTCCGGTGGACATTTAACAAAAGACGAGTGATCATAAAATATTTGAAAAGTTATTTTGAACATTTGTAGGATTTATGCGTACGACGTGCGTAAACAAAATTAATATCCTTCTACACTAAATCTTCGCATCACATCCACTTCACACCGCAGTCCATTTCGTTTTCACCTACAAATGAAAGTGTGTAACGGTTGTTGGTCGTGATGAAATTTTTATAAGAAAACCGTAAGCGACCATAAGGTGTATATACGTTCGGGCGTACAAAGAATGGGAAGAAAGTTCACCTCATCTACGAAACTAATACCATCGTCACTTTGCTGCCTCATTCATTCACCGATTATTACGAGAAAGGGAGAAAAAAAAAATCGCCAGATGTTCATTTTTAAAATATGCAGACGTAGTTAACCATATTTTGCTCGGTAACCTGGTCGCCTTTTTATTTTAACTTGCTTTTGTTTCTCCATTGATTTATGAATTAACTTGTTCTCAAATAAATATTTCATCTTAAAATATGAGAAAATGGCATCCACTTATACAAACTGTGACATTGGTATTCAAAGTGCGTTTGAACATGAAAAATTTATGGAAAACGTATGGGACACACTTGATATGGGAAACTTTGACATTTTTAACAGTGACTGAGAGAACAGATCATGTTTTCTGAAAATGCGGATTTTTTTTTTATCGGGGCTCCAGTAAAGGGAAAAAATACCGGCTTGGTCGAATATTTTGATTCTGCTTTCGTATATTTTGACCATAAAACGCCGCTCTTAGTCGGTTTCGTCCCGCATTTGATCAGTGTGGTTACGAAGAGTTTTCGTTACACTAAACGCTCGTACATCATTAAGCAAATGAAAAAAAAAAAACACATAAACTCAATAGCGTGGAAAGATAAAGATTCTGCTCCGAAAGCCTTTCTAAACGAATTGAATGCTGCACAGAGTTTGATTTTCCGAACACTTCTAATTTTCAACTGATATCTGCGATTATTTCAATGTATCGTTCCTCCACCAGCTGCTAATGAATTGCATGGTCCGACAGCCGGCCGATATAATGTGCGTAGTAAAAATGAACCGGCCGGAATACAAGCAATCGTAATGAGTCGGAATACATTGAACGTTTATTGTTTAATTACCCGTTGAAATGGCAGATAAATAAATAAAAACGATTGTGATTTTGAATAAAATATACAGAGGTATACCTCGCTATCTATATAGCAAATTAATGGTAGATTAAGTAATCGAGATGGTTTTATCCTCTATTAGTTCATGGAGAGGAGTGTGTGCGTATGTGTGAGTGAGTGAGTGTGTGTGTGAATATATTTTTCGCAAGGAATACACACCAACAATGGCTTCCATACATAAACGAATAAATGGATTAAATTTGGCGTATAATATAATTTATATGTTAATTAGGTTCAAATAAATCAATTGCAACGCGAATCATCATTAATTTGAATGAATGATAAATTGAGTTAGTCGCATGAATGGATGTATGCTTATGTGTATGAGGTGCTCGTGCAAAATAAACGATTCAAAATGGATTTTCATCATCAATGAAGAGTTTTTTTTTTGTTCTTTTTTATCTGCATTTTTTCGCTACCATCATTCGTATTGTGTGTGTGTTTTTGAACACAAAGGTGCGTAGACGTCTAACTCAAAATCGATTGATGTACTCAAAAGCATCAATCTTCTCATCTGTCGTATATTAGCCGAGTAAAAAGGGCCTCTAAAATGTATAAATTTACAAAATTATCAAAATTTCCAACAAAATGCTACACACAAACTCTGTACAAAGTCATGTGAAACGGTTAGTGATGATTTGAAGTACGACACCATGCATCAAATGACAATGGAGCATTGCTTTTGAAGCGATTTATATATTAGGCAAATTTTCGCTTCGATTCAAACCGGGTGAAATGTGAATGAGTGCATAACATCAAGTAAATATATAAACGGTCTTGATATCATACCGTCAATACCGTCCGCTTTGAATGTCACGGTTATTTTGTTAAATAGGAAAACAACAACCAATTTTCAATCTATTTTACTCTGTTACAGTGGTTCTCGTTTTCATATTTGAACTGATTGAAATATTGACACTCAATTGACTGTAATAACAAAAAGCGCTGCTATGTGTTGCCACTTTAGAAGCTATCATTGACTTGCAAGGTGGACGGTTTATATCAACCTTTGATGGATCGCCGATAAATTTGAATTCGTTTTTTCCTTCATTAATTGAAATTCATGTGCGATTTGCTGAAAAATCCCGTGGAAGTTGAAATTTTGGCTGATAGAAGTC